ATTTTGCTTCGAAACGCGATGGTGCGAGAAATATATGTTATTCACATAAAATAATGTTGTCGTGTTAGAAAACAAGCCTTTCCAGAAATGTTGATTATTTTTTCGTTTTTGCTCCTATTTACTCTTATTTTCCTAGACTTCTTTAAATGTATACAGTTTTGTTACAAAACGCGATGGTGCGACAAATATATGTTATTCACATCAAATAATGGTGCCGTGTTTGAAAACAAGCCTTTCCGGAGACGTTGATTTATTTTTCCTTTTTGCCTATATTTACTCTTATTTTCCTCGACTTCTTTAAATGCTTTACGATTTTGCTTCGAAACGCTATGGTGCGAGAAATATATGTTATCCACATCAAATAATAGTGTCATGTTTGAAAACAAGCCTTTCCGGAGACATTGATTTATATTTCGTTTTTTCCCATATTTACTCTTATTTTCCTCGACTTCTTTAAATGTATACGAATTTGCTTCGAAATGCGATGGTGCGTGAAATATATTGTAATATCCCGATATGTAATCGGTATAAATTATGTTTAATTCCGATATAATAATGTTATCGTTTATTATTTTCGGAATTAATCGGGATTACCGAAATCTATTTCCGACGTACCGTTTACGTTCGGAATAATTTTGGTAATTAAGCATTATGTTTAATTGAATAATTAAACATATATTAGTGATTAATTGTTCATTAATCCTACTTAAGTGATACTTAGCCGAGTGATTGCGCATTATGCAAGTTAATAAGTAAGTTAAGTGTTGGTATTAAGGTTAGTGTCAAGTACACATCATTAGTACATGATCAGATTTAATTTCAAGCTTATCGTCATGAGAATTGGTCTTCATTTTTTTCACGTGAGTAGCATCATTACAAGTTATGTAGGTGGCACTTAGTTAGTATTCCAATTGGTGACTAAGCTCTTCATTGTACACCTAAGGCTTTTTATGCCTAGCAAATGGCACGCAAGGATTGGCCATGATTTTCACCTATATTCACCCAAATTTTTATTCCCTTTCAATTCGGTTTTATGACAGAGAAGTTGGGGAAAATTAGGCATTACTCTTATAAAATAGTTCAGCAAATATTAAGTAAAAATCAAGCAAGATTAGCACTATTCCTTATACGGCAATCGTCCCAAGCACGCGGAACAGCCGAGTCCGAGAGGTGTTGCATAATTCATCAGGCGAACTTGTGCAGGTAGCCTTGTCTTCTTCACCTGTCACCATTTTAGGTTAATTTATAACCTTTCAATCCATGTTGGTCGAGAATTTTTCTAAACTGGTCGAGTGTTGGGTTCAAGGCCAAAGACCGCGCACGGTGCGCGTGTCTCGGCAAAGTTCATGTTAGGAAGTAAGTACCACTGGACTAATCAAATAGAATAGTTCATATTATATTAAATTAAGGCATGTTATATATTGCATCATGTTTAAGTGGTCGAGTAAAGTTATGGTTTAGTCGATGAATTGGTTATAGGGCCGTAGGCCGCGCTCGGACACACTTTATGGGTTAGTGCAGTCTTTGAGCAAGAGTCATGCTTATAGGTGAATTCAATTAATTTAATTATGTTAAATTAGTTATGTTGTATTATGTGGGAGTTGCCGAAAATTATCGTCGGACGGCCGACGAGGGTCGGTCGTATACATGTTGTTCGCACATCGCGGGCGCAGGGTACCGGCGGAGATGCAGGACATGCGGTACAGTGCTGCGAGTAATCTGTACCCGCAACAAGTAAGTCGTTGGCGATGTACGTACACACGCCAACACTCAGCTACGCGCGCGCTAGCGTGCAGTATAGCACGCCAATGGCCTCGGCAGTGCCCAGTCGGCGGCCCGAGTGCCCAGCATCGCAGGGGTCGCGCGGCAGCGCCCCGCATGAGGCCAGTCATGGTTGTCCAGCGCCGGTATGCGTTCGATAACCCTCAGCTGCACGTTGTGATGAACGGGATCACACGACTGTGCCCAGTTGCGCGATA